CAAAATTAAAAACAAATATTTTTATTTGAAGTGTATGAATGGTTTGCCTGCGTGTATATACGGGCATCATGCACACGCCTGGTACCTACAGAGGTCAGATGAGGGTGTCAGATCCCCTGAAACTGGAGTTAGACAACTGTGATCCTCCAGGTAGGTGCTGGGGAAACCAGGTCCTCTGCAAGAACAGCAAATACTCTTAACTGTTCAGTCATCTCAACAGTTGAAGAATTGTCATTTGTAAATGAAATGTTGAGGTGGGTTTATGAGACGCCTTGTATAGATTTATGATGAAAGAGGAGCAGTAGCGGGACGGTGGTGGCACATGCCTTTGATCCCAGCACTCGAGAGGCAGAGGCAGGTGGATCTCTGTGAGTTCGAGGCCAGCCTGATCTACAGAGTGAGTTCTAGAATAGGCTCCAAAGCTACACAGAGAAACCCTGTCTCGAAAAACTACCCCCCACCAAAAAAAAAAGAGGAGCAGTAATACTGTTGAATGCAAGGCCACAAACATCCTGACCCTGTGTGAGCACAGTTCATTGTTGTTAATATCTTAGTCTTGAGGACACACGCTATCTCTAATAATTTTGATTTTTAGGTTCTGTTGAAGTTTCTTAAAGGGCAGGTTCTGGGGTGGGAGGCTGCTTTCTTTTCCCATATCCCCTTCATTTCTCCTGATTTTCTATTCTGCTTCACATTATTTGCTAGCTTCCTGGTTGCAGCTTTTATTACTGAAGAATATTATTTTATGTGTATGGATGTTTTTCCTGCATGTATGTCTGTGTACCACTTGAGTGACTGGTGCCCAAAGACAACATTTGGATTCCCTCCCCTGGAACTGGAGTTCAAGAAGGTTGTGAGCCACCATGTGGGCACCAGGAATCAAACCGTGGAAGAGCAAACTGTGCTCTTGATTGCTGAGCCATTTTATTATTTTAAAATCTGATACTTGGAAATAATTTTTTCTTTGTAACCACTGGAAGACCTTTTCCCTTATAAGGTGCTGTAATGGATACATGTCCATGATGTAAGGTTTATATTTATTGCTTTTAAATATATTTCTTCAAACAAGACCCTCACTTTATTTGGCTCTAGATTACTGGTAGATACTTTGCCAGAGGCTCTATCTATACCTTTTAATGACATAGTATGTGTGTTTGTGTGTGTGTGTGTGTGTGTGTGTGTGTGTGTGTGTGTGTGTTGGGGGGTAGGTTAGAGGATAACCTCAGGTTTCAGTCTTTATCTTCCACTTTGAGATGGGGCCTGTTGCTTTTCTTCTGCATACACTTGGCTAATTGGCCAGTGAGCTTCTCTCTCTTCAGTTACCATCTCTCTGCAGAAAAGCTGGGATTGTAAATACATACTACCAAATCCCGCCTTTTATGTGGGCTCTGAGATTTGAACTCAGGTCTTTATGGTCTGAGGCAGGCTCTCTGCCCACTGAGCTGTCTCCAGAACCGAAACCAGATGTTTTCAGGTGAAAAGAAGTAGAGCAAACACGCTATGAATGACAGCTGTTGTCACTGTGACCTTTTTTCCTTTTTCAGACAGGGTCTCACTATAGAGACCTGGCTGGTCTGGAACTAATAGAGATCCTCCTGTCTCTGCTTCCCAACTGCTGGGATTAAAGGCGAGAGCCACCACACCCAGCCCCATTTTTCAACATTCTTTTTTTTTTTTTTTTCCCCCATTTCAACATTCTTAACAAAACCAAATCTATCACTGGGATTTTAGGATAACGGGGAGAGACAGTCTATGTTTTAGACCTCAGACTGCCTATGAGTGTTTTACTCATTACAGGTAGCTGGGTGACCTTATAGAAGAATTCGATAATAGTAGAAATAATCTTTTTGTTTTTTTGAGATAGGGTCTCAGTAGAAATAATCTTTGAATTGTTTCATACAATTATGAAAAGATGACTACAATGAAAGTTATCGTTAACCCTAGTGCTATGTGAATACAGTTTTCATTAGTACTAGTGGGTTATTGAAAATAATCTTGCGAAGTTTAGCACAGGAAAATTAAATTGAAAGATTACAATTAGGTGGGTAGGAAACTCACCCTTTTGGAAGAATCAGACCTCAACTTCATTGGCTGACTGAACAAACACCTAATGCTGAGACATGCTCATTGACTTATATGTACCATCCCACATTTGTTCTTGATGATGTGTGGTTTCCTTTGTGAGGTCATGAATGACATTATCAGCAAGACCAATAGTGTTACTACCCTAAGTGAACCAGCCGTCAGACTCACATCCGCTGGATCATCAAGCTTCTGTCTATATGGGTAGGCATGTGTAGGTAAATAAAACTAGGACTCTGATTTCTGTCCTAAGTTGATCAAACTAACCCTCTGATGGTGGCAGACTGTCTCAGGGCCCACGCAATTTCTCTTGTTCAGGCAGGCATCCATGGGAACGTTGTCTCAGCACCTTAAACAGGGTAAGGGTGTGACAAATGGGTGTCTGCCTTTGACTTTTTTTTTCCTTTTTTTTTTTTTTTTTTTCAAGACAGGGTTTCTCTCTGTAGTTTTGGTGCCTGTCCTGGATCTTGTTCTGTAGACCAGGCTGGCCTCAAACTCACAGAGATTCTGCCTGCTCTGCCTCCTGAGTGCTGGAATTAGAGGCATGCACCACCACCACCCTGGCATGGTTTTGACTTGTAAAGAAGATAAGGTTTCGCCTAAGGGTAGCTGAATGTTTGACTTCCCTAATGAGCATACACAGGATCTTCCACAGTTTGAACAAAAGTGCATGGTTATGTAGGCAAAGTGTCAGTGGGGGCAGAGATGGAGACACAGCTCCACATTGCTTAAAGCAGCCTGCAGACTTCCCTCAGGCTTTTAGGGATCCCGACTCAAGTCAACACAAGATTTGTGGCTTTGGCCAGAAAAGAATTTTAGCCCTAGTCTATGTGAAGTAGAGTTGATTCAAACAAGAAAAGTGCTCAGGGCAAGAAGTGCACCCAAGAGCATGGGTGTGAGCTTCTCAAAGAAGAATTAGTTTATTAACAGACATTTTTATGGATTTTGAAGCACAGAGGTCAAGAGGGAGAGAGAAGCTCAGGGAACGGAAGAGAAACATCCAAGTGTGGCTATGGGACCCTCAAGGAAGAGCTGCCCTTAAGTTCTTGTCATTAACCGGACGCACTGTCTTGGTGACAAAGGCTGCCAAGGAACTGTTTCTCCCCTACTCCCCTTCCCCCCTCTCCCTCTCCTCTACCTCCCTGTAAGTGAGATAGTAGAGTGACTCCAGAGAGTCCTTGGACAGGATTACAATCTACAGGCGAAGCCAAAGGCACCCAGCAAGGAAGTTAGGGCATGTCCTTTTACTGGAAGTGGTTTTTGGTGAGATTGCTGGAAAATTGCAGAAGGATGCCTTTAAGCAAATGTTGATTGAGCTGGAATCTTGATTCTCTGCTGCTGAGGGGCTTCAGCTATTCCTGGGGGAGGGTCCCTTTCCCTTCCTGTGTCCCCTGGGTCTTTCCTTTGTCTCTCTAGCTTGCACCAACAAAGATAGTAAAGAAGAGACCTCCAATGTCAGGGTATTGATATTTAATGTATTAATACATTTACTGTTTATATTAATATTTCTCGAGTAAAGAATGTTAATAATAATAAAGTCATGTTGGAATTTTGGAGTTTACGAGGGAGAAGGGAATAAAAGATTTTAAGAAATGCCAACTTCTATTTTAGAGTATAATTTATAGTATTCCAAAATGAGTTCTGTAGAATCTAGTTACCGACTCTACTGAGATTCTTTAATTTAGGAGAGTAGAGCAGATATTTTACATCCAATATGGAACCCAACATATTTACATTGAATTTGTGTGTGTGTGTGTGTGTGTGTGTTCTAAGTTAAAACTACCTTTAAACTTAGCAAGCTCTTGAGTTGCTCCATATCAGTAGAGCGTAAGTGAGCTGTTCAGACAGGTCTGGTCACCACCCCTACTGGAAAATAGGGTAATGGCTTCCTTGTAAGAGGTGGGTGTGCCAGCTGCTTTTGTGAATGGAGGGAAAGGTTTAGGCGGGTCAAATTATTTGCTCTTGTTTTTAAAAAAAATTAAATAAATAAAAATACTCACACAGTGTTAGCCTTTTATGTTTAACAGAATAAAAGTAGACCAGAGGACTTTGGTGCAATTCTTACTTCTTACAATGTTTTTGGCTTCTTGAAGAAGTTTGAAAAATTTTAAATCCTCAAGAGCAGACCTTAAAAAAAAAAAATCCAATCAATCCAGTAGTAGAAAACAAAGGAAAAGAAAGGAAGCTTTCACACAATCCAGCCCTTTATTAGCAACTCACTGTGAAGGCAAAGCTTCTCCTTGACACTGTCCTCATGTCACCGGCTAGAGAAAAACCTCTCTTCATCCTCCACCCCCTTCCATGTCTTTTCCTTTTTTTTCTTAACAGCTCCCCCAACAAAAGGAGTTACAGCAGGTTAAGTTATCATTTCGTCAGAGGACCAGGGCCTGGTGCCTGCTGACTGCCTATCTGTAAAGTGTCTTCTGTCTTTAGTGATGGACATCTCAGTGCGTTGGCTTTTGACTTCCAGGAGAATTTCATTAAGAAGGGAAAACTCCAGAAAGTTGTCTCAGAGTTTGACTTGAACACTGGCCTAAGGACCTGAAGCAGGCCTGAGGTTTATTGTCCTGTCGAGTGACCCAGGACTTCCACCAATTTCCCTTGTGACAAATTCACAAGTACAGCTTGTAGTTTTGTCAAATCCACAGTGACATTTCTTTTCACAGCTCTCTTGACTTTATACTGTTTAAATACCCTGAGTTGTCTCTTAATTTGCATTTCTTCCTTTAATTCCTGTCAGCTCTGAATGTAACGTTTACATAATCAATTTCCTTGTCCTGGTTTTTTTGAGTTATTGCTTTTGAATTGTGGGATACCCATTGGCATGTTACTTTAAGATAGTTTCATAATCTTACAATGTCATAGTATTAAGATTGTTATGCAATGACATTAACTTATTTTCTTTCTTTTCTTTGTAGGCTGAGCAATGGCATTTCAAAAGGCAGTGAAAGGGACTGTTCTTGTGGGCGGAGGCGCTCTGGCCACTGTTTTGGGACTCTCTCAGTTTGCTCATTACAGAAGGAAGCAAGTGAGTAAACGCATGGGCTGATGCGGAAGCATTGACGGCTGTGTATGCTCGTGGCTGTGTGTAGGAATGACTTAAAATTCCTCCATTTACAGAGATCCTCAGAGTACTGCCTTATGATGCCCACGAACTTTAAGTACCTCATGTTTTAAAATGGTAATGTCCTCTCAAAAGCCTCTGTTTTGGCTCTTTGATTTAAAAAAAAAAAGGCTTCATTTATTTGTGCCAGGGTTTGTTCATTTAGACCTTACTTTGTCCAGCTCATTGAGATGCCTGGGTGCTTTCTCGGCTCCTGCCAAGTTTGTCCTATTAGAAGGCAGGAGGCTGGGAAAGGAAGTGGAAAAGCCAAGGCCCAACTCTGTTGTCTGGTTATATATATTTTTTTCTTGAGACAGGGTTTCACTGTGTAGCTCTGGCTGTCCTGGAATTGTGTTGACCTGGCTGGCCTCGAACTCACAGAGATTCCCCCAGCCTTGGCCTCCAGAGTGCTGGGATTCATGGCATGCCCCACAATGCCTTTATATTTCTTAAATGCTAGTTCCTTATGTATGTAACAAGTACGTTATCTCATGTAAGGAGGGTGATTCATTGTATCCCAGCGCAGCAGTGGCATGAATGTGAACATGGGAAGACAGAGTTCACTTTCCTTTTATTTTTCTCTCTGTACCACAACCATGCCTTCGTACAGTTAAGGTGGAGAGCAGGAAATAATCTCATTGCAGGATTTTGTTCTCTTCCTCCTTGAGATGCTGTGGTTAGTTTTGGCCTTTTGTTTTTCTTCTCCCAGTCATCCGGGCAGACAGCCCTGCTTCAGGAGGAGGGTGGGAAAGCTTGGGTGGCAAGGTCTGTTTGCTGTTGCTCTTCATTTCTGTGGCTCCCTTTAAGACATCAACTTCCCTACTAGTTCCTGTTAGTTCTTTGTGTTAGGAGATGGTAGACCCAGCCATATTGCTTGGAAGTTTCTATCCTGAATGGAAAATACCACCTTAAAAACACATATTAAGAATTAATGTATTGCTTCACAATTGCCTTATCCTTACAGTGAATAAGCTCCTCAGATTTTTTTTTTTGTTTTGTTTTGTTTTGTTTTGTTTGAAAGACAGGCAGGGTCTTACTCTGTAAGCCTGGCTGGTCTGGAACTCAGATGGCTCATGTTTGACTTCATATTCCTGAGCACAGAAATCCTAGCACTCAGGAGGCAGAGGCAGATGAGTCTCTGAAAGTTCAAGGCCAGTCTGATCTACAAAGTGAGTTCCAGGACAGCAAGGGCTACATAGTGAGATTATGTCTTGAAAGAAACAGAGAGAGAGAGAGAGAGAGAGAGAGAGAGAGAGAGAGAGAGAGAGAGAGAAAATATAAGGAGGCAATAATTACAGGCCTGAGCCACTGTGCCTGCCCAGGCCCCAAAGCTCATTTTCTATGTGTTTCTTCCTAAAGAGGAGAGGTATTGGAGAGACTCTGTCTCCCTGTCTTTTCATTCTGAACCACGGGCACTGGACCCGGGCCTTCCCAGGGTGTGTGTGTTGCCCATATTCACTGTCCTGCACTGAGTCTCTTGTCTGTTGATTCTGTTTGATAGGCTTTCTTTTCAAAAGTTGCCTTGGTTTCTCCAGAGTAAATGTGAAAGATGCTGCTTCTGCGCAGGCTATTTCAGAAGTCTGGGACAGGGGCATTAGGGATTAGATTACATCCCTCATCTTCCCCCACGCCCGTGTTATCTGAACCGAAACTGAGAAATGCCAAGTGCCCAAAGGTCATGATATCTAATAGGTGCTGCTAAATTCGTATGTGGCTTATGTCTTTAACCATAGTAAGCTTGTTTTACTATGAAGTTTATGACTTAATGTTTTCCCTAAATATTAACTGGTACATCTTTTGTAAATTTGTTTTTTTAAGCAACTGATCTCACAGAGTAAATTTGTAGCAGTGCTCCTGAACAGCGAGTCAGGGCTGGATTTTAGGAATTAAATTCTAACAAGGGCCTGTTGACTTCTACACCTTTGCTACTTTATCTCCTTAAGTCAGCCACCCCGACTCTCCTAACAGCCCAGTGAAATGGATACCAGCCGTTTGAAGTCATTTATAATTTTAAGTTGACAGGTTCTGTTGAAAACAAAGCAAAACAAAACCAAACCCACCACAGGCATATTCCAGTCAGTGAGTTGCATAGGAAATCTGTTTTTTTCAGTGATTCCTGTTCCTTTAATATACTACCCTGAGCTTATATTGGAGAGGGTAGACAAGTGTGCTGTAGCCATCAGGGTCGGGGGAAAAATAGACTAACTCCCGAGAGAGGAGACAGTTTATTTCAGTGGCTGACATAAAGTGTCCACAGGCCACTTGGAATACACTTCTCTTTTCCCACAAAGTGACACTGGATATGTCACGGTTGGTGGTGACCGACTTCAAGAATAAAGAAAAAAAAAAAGAATCATCTACTCCCCGAGCCTTGTGAATTGGCTACATTTTTGTAAGGCTCTCAGATGTGCTCCATTTTTCTCCATTTTCTGTGTTGTAGGATGTATTGCCTCATTGTACAGGTGTGTTCATCAGCTGATCCCAGCCCCCTGCCCTGTCCCCACCCCAGATTTTCTAAGAGGGTTCAAACTGGAATCCTCTAAGTGTAAGACAGGAGGTGGAGCATGCCTTTAATCCCAGCACTTGGGAGGCCGAGGTAGGTGGATCTCTCTGAGTTCCAGGCTAGGTTGGTCTACATAGCCAGTTCCCAGGACAGCCAGGGCTACATAGTGAGACCCTGTCTCGGGAAAAAAAATAAGTATGTGTTGAAAAACCTCGACATAGTGATACCCTAGGGAACTATCCACGTAACTCTTAAGTTCAGCTCATTTGGCTGCATCACTGAATTCTGTCTACCTGGTCCTGGCTTGTGGATGTATCCTTGCTATTCCCAGCACAAAGCTTCCGTCCCAAAGTACAGGCAGAGTGGTGAGTTAAGTACAAATGGGTAGATGCTGAAAAATTGGTCAATGGGACAAGGTTTAGGCTCTGGCCAGTTCACAAAAACCTTTTAAATTAGTTATTCAGTTAAATTATCTTGTATTTGCAAGGACAAATAGGAGGAAAATGACTATTGAGACTTTAGAAAGCTTATTAAAGAGAAACAATGAAACTGAACAAGATGTGGTTTTCTTCGTCTTTAAGTCAATTGCCTGTCTCAGGAAGTGGCTGGACTGTTATTTCTAGAAGACAGGTGGAACGTGAGGTGGTAGTAGTGACTGACTTTACAATATCCCCCCCCCCCCCATTTCACATTTGTTTGTTTTTGTGTATTTATCCACATGAGTGTGCAAGCATGTGCCATTACACAAATGTAGATATCATAGAACAGCTGGTGGGAGTGAGTTTTCTTCTTCCTGGGACTGAACTCAGGTTGTCAGGTTTGACCTGTGCCAGCTGAGCCATCTCACTGGCGTTCTGGTGTCTCTTATTGCAGATGTATATTAATACTTATCTTACCTTTGTCACTGATCACAGTCACTCAACTCAAGTGGAAGTTAGGAAATAGCTCACCTACTTTAGCTCAGCTACCTGAGGCCATCAGGACAGTTTTAGAAGTAATGGTGGAATGCTAGTTTCTTAGAAACTTAGGAACAGGACTATGATTTTCAGTAGAAGTGTTCTTTTGGAGCTGGGAGAGCCTAAATCTTCAGTTACTTTGAGGAAAGGAGATGAATGTGGGCTGATTTCTTTTGACTCTGTCTTCCCAAAGGGAAGGGACTTACAGAAAAAGTATCCACAGTCTCGGCCCGCTTCCTTCTTCCATCTACTGCTTTTAGAATAGTCTTTGAGGGGCCTTTTCATTTTCCTCTCTTTCTGTTTCTTCATCTTCCTATCTCCCTATTTTTTAATGTGGAGGATCAAATATGGTAGGCTTATGCTCTACAGAGATGGCTACATCCCTAGTTGCCTGCCATTATTTTAAATCATACTGACATGTAGTAAGACAGCTGACAGCTCCCCTTAGGCATAAGGGTGGGTCTTTGTGAATCATAAGCTAATCATCACGACCATTCCCCTGATGGGATCATGTAGATGAATTCCTAAACGGTCTTATTAAATGAAAAAACACGGAGCCAGATAAAGGGTTGAAAACCTGAGAGATCAGGGAAATAGGGAAAGCCACAGCTTAACCTTACCTTACTGACTCTGCAGCTTCCAAATGTGAGTGACTTCCTATCTACCCATGCCTATATGATTTGCTGTTCTGCCCTCTGATTTGCTCTCTCTCTGTCCAGCTACATCACTTCCTCTTCCTGCCTACCTCTGTCACTTCCTGTCTGTTTGTACAGACCTTCAGACCTTCATGGTTAACTAGTGTTGGAATTTAAGGCATGTGCCACCATGCCTGGCTCTGTTCCCAATGTGGCCTTGAATACACAGAGATCCAGACAGATCTCTGCCTACCAAGTGATAGGATTAAAGGCGTGTGCTACCGTTGCCTGATTTCTTTGTTTACCTATAATGGCTGGCCTTTTCCTCTGATCTCCAGGCAAGCTTTATTTACTAAAGCACAAATAAAACATTACCACAGGATCATCTCTCCAATTAAGAGAGCATGCATAAAGTATGTGGACTCTTCATTGGTTCAACCTGCTGTGTACTCAAAACGACCATTCTCAATAAAGATGACCTCAATCTCCTTCTAGTTCTCACTAGAAGTCCCTTCAAAAACCATGGGCAGGGGCTGGAGAGATGGCTCAGTGGTTAAAAGCACTTGCTGCTCTTCTAGAGAACCTGCTTTTGATTCTCAGCATCTGTGTCAGATGTATGGCCACTGTGTGTAACTCTGGCTCCACAGGATCTGATACCTCTGGCCTCTGCAGGCACCCGCTCTCATGTGCATATATCCACATGCAAGATGCACGCATACGCATAACTACTACTACTACTAATAAAAGACCACTGGGCAGGGCAGTATATCCTCCCTTCCCTACTTTTCAATGCCGAATATATATCCAGGGTCTCGCACATGCAGGCACTCT